ATTATCTCTTCAGCCGGTGTTAACAAATAAAAATGTTTAGAAGGTGGTGTAGTTTTGGAACACATTTGAAAATAATTATATTTAATTTTCTTTCAAAAATATAAAATTTATTTCAAAATAATTTAATATTTTTCTATCCTCTAATTTGTGATATTATTAAAAAGAAAATGCTGAACAGTATTAGTAGGGTACTAACTAAAGAATCAAAATTGAGAAACTTTTATCATTTTTTTATACATATTAATCTTATTATAATTTTCAATATAATTCTTCACTTGTTGATTCCGTAGCCAATGTCCCTCAAACACTCATTAACAATACCCTTGTTAAAATTACTCCATCCAAGACGTTATCTGCTTTGATACTTCTTGAAAATAAACACGTGACTTCAAAGAAAATATGTTCTATATGAAATTAACGGAAAATTTATAGTCAAATCGACCCAAATAAAAGACTGTGCATATGGATTACTTATACGAATTTCCTAATTATTTTATATTGTCAAAAGGATCCCATAAAATAACTACCCAAGTCAACTCTTGGCACTAGTTTTGTTGCATATTTAATGCTCTACATTCATATTTTTAATGCTGGTACATCAATATTGATAAGGATTCTTTTATTTAATATTGATAAGGAATTGCTCTCATACATATCTTTCTCTGCTTCACAATTCTTGTGGTTTAAAATTTCTATACGTAAATTAAAAATAATAATAAATATATTATTTTAATACAATTTTATTAAAATAATTTCATTTTTTTGATAAATATATTACTTTAATAATGTTAGTTGAATAATTAATTAAAGAATAACTTAAAAAACTAATTAATATTACATAAAAAGTAAAAACATAAATCATTTCAAGACAATTCTCAAATGCTAAAATTACATTAAATTTAAGACAAAAATCTCTATGTACCTAATTCTTTTTCTTACCTTCATGTACCAAAAGAAGAACCTATCTAATTAATTTTCACCACTCATCATCAGTATTAATTCTTATTTGTAAGGGAATAATGCTTTAAGAATTTAATTAGAATATTATGTTATCAATATAATTTTTTAATTATTAGAGTTAGTATAATAATGTAATGATCTGATAAATTTTTATACTTTATAACTCAATATTTTAAATAATAAAAAATATAAATCTAATTACTTGATATTAATATGTAAACAATTCCTATATATATATATATGTGTGTGTGTATGTGTATATGTGTGTACATACACAATAATCCAAACTAAACATAAATTATAAGTTGTTGATCAAATAATTACTATACAAAGTTGTTTCAAAATAGCCAAAATTGACAATGCCATCTCTATCATGACCCTCAAAATTTGACTCATTGTTAAGCCTAATCCTACCTTACTTTCATACAAATATGATTTTGGGGTTCAACAATGAGGAAACATAAAGGTAAACTTAAATACAATAAAACAACAAGTGATATATAAATGAAACTATACTGTCAATATCATCATATCAACACTACACAACATAACATCATTACAATATAGAGATCACTCAATGCCCAACTTAGCAATACATATAAGCTTACATCATAGATTTATCATCATTCAACTTTACACCACAACATGAGATCAACACATTAACAACTAATAGTACAATTGCTTAACAACACAATAACTTAAACAACAATGCAATATAGTAACACAATGCGTTGTCACACATTTCAACTAAGAAATCTCTTACAAAGTGATGAGTAATTTAAGTGGTTTGATCTCGTTGAACTAACTTAACAACGTGATCTTTTTAGGCTTGTTAATCAACAATAAATTTTGATATTAATCCACACACAACATAATTTATCGAGTTTTATTACTTAGACTGGGAAAATATAGTATTCTTGTCAAAAATAGAACAACTTGAATGTTAATTTATCACGATCTTAACATGCATAACTAACCCTATAAATAATTAGTCTGACAATTATCTTCCAAGTATTGCGTCCTTTCTAATATTTAATTATGAATTTTGGCTTCTAACCTTATACCTTACTCGATTGGTCACTTCTAAACCAATATGGTTCGACCTTGCATTCATTCATTATTAAATAAGGACATAAAAGAGACTCAACATTCCACTTCAAGAGTCAACTTTACTTAAGAAGAGTTTTTCAACAATTGGATTCTCAAAGTACCACAACACATATCCTTATAATAGAATATTCATATTTTTAAAGCAACACCTATCCTCTAGTCCAAAGTCAAAAACACAACACAACTACATGCATCAAACATTCATGACACAATTTCTTTCAACTATACAACTCATCTTATAAACATACTACTTTACTACATACAATTTTGACTTTCAACTTTAAAACCTTGAAACATCATATATCATCATAGATCAACACATAATGAACTAAGTTAAATCATCATCATGCATCATGTAATCAATCAACTCATCAAGATATGTTAAGATTACCAGATTAAATGAAGAATTGGTGCTTCAAGCACCCCAAAGCTAGCTCTAAGCAAATTAAGTTCACTCTAAGTGCCTTGAAATTCGCTCTGAGTGAGCTTAGATAGAAAGCACCCATAAGAGTCTCGATTTTTTTGCTTAAGCGAGTAAACCCTCGCTTTGATCAAACGAAATTCACTCATAGTGCTCTAGAATTCGTTCCAAGTGAGTCAAACCAGAGAGCACCTCTAAATGTTTGCACAACTCGCTCTAAGCCACTAAAATTCACTCTAAGTAAACTAAGTTAGACACCACCCTTGAAATGGTCTCACTTACTCATTTAAGCAACTCTATTGGCGCTTTAAGTGAGCAAGTCCAAGAAACATGCACGAAATCAAGAACAATTCCACAACTTAAGAAAACACCTAACAACTCAAAACCCTCTTATCCAAAACACAATCTTTACATGCAACTCATAACCTAACATCTACTAACATCATACCACTCATAAGTTTAAGAAATTGCCACATGCAACAATAAGGCTTCACAAAATTATCAATTCTCATATTCTTCATCAAGAACACCGAGAACAAAAGAATGCCATGGATTCTACTTCAATTTCAACTTCAAACACTTTCCAAAACATGAAACAATAGGATAAAATCAACAATTTCAACATGTAGGATCAAACTACAAGCTTCTTTTACCTTAGATCTTCTAAAGAAGAAGAAGAAAAAGAAGAACTTGGGAATTCTAAACTTCTCGTATGACGACTTCTTCTATTGATTCTTAGCTCTAGAAGCTTTGAATCTCAACATAACTATTCAATCTAATTCAGGGGAAGAGATATACACTTTTTATAGAATCAACAAAAGTAAAGAAGTCTTTCTGACTCTTGAGCTCTTTTCTCTAACCTCTTTTTAAGTTTTTTAAGAAAATTAACTTATGAAGTTCAAATCTTAAAAAAATCTTATATATATTGTCCTAAACTTGATTAACTTTGACCTTAATTTAAAACAATTTCTAAACAACTAAATTCATAAAAAAATCCCTTAATTCTTTAGTATTTTTAAAACAGATAAACAACTAAACACTAATCATTTGAATTAATAAAATTAACAAACACCAATTAAATTTCATAGTGTTACAAGTAAAGTGAGGTTAAGATAAATACTTGAATCCTTAAATTTAATCTTTATTATCAATATTGTAATTTTTTATCGATAAAAAAGTATATTTTTACAATATCATTCAACTATGTATTATAATATTTGTTAAATTTTTTTAATTTTATAATAAAAGTCGTATCTATAATGATTTTATCCCATTCAAATAAGATTATCAACAAAGATACTTGTGTTTCTAAAAAAAAAAGTCATATTTAAATTAATATTTTATAAAGTTTAATTTCTATATATCAAGAATATAAATTTACATTATAAACTAATTAAAGCTTATTAGTATTTTTTAATACAATTATTAATAAAATATAATAAAATTTCAAACTTATTCTATTATATATAATTAAGGTATCCCTTGAATAAAGTGTATGAATTCTTATAAATTATTCATAAATAAATTTTTTATTATATAATGGTAGTTTGCTATTAATGATTATATAGAAATTCTTGAGCATTAATACACGAGTAAAAAACTTAAAAGAATTAATATGTTTGATTTTATAAAAAATATTATGTAACTTTCAATACATTTTTAATATTTTAGATTTTCACTAATAAAATAAATATTAAAAAAGGAAAACAAAAGTATTGCAAGAGAATATTAATAAAATGTCAATATTATCAAATAACAGTTAAATTAAAATTACTAAAATGTGAAACAAAATATAATTAAGGTTGTGTTTACTCTATTTTATTAATTTTCAGTATAAAAGGCTTGCTTTGTTGCAAGAAAATTCAACCGAACTCCTTAACTGAGGTGGAAATAATATATGGAAGATGGACATCCCAAAGTGCTGCATTACATTGACCAGTGCAACACAGCCACGCTTGATGAGCTGCCAATCCATCCCTCTCTCTCATTCACATTTCACAACCTCAATCAAAAGGACAAAAATAAAATAAAATTTAAAAGTAAATGATGCATTTATAATGATTAATATCTTTATTAAATTTTTATAAAAAAGTGCACAGAAGCAAGGGACCTCTATTATAATAAGAGGAACTTTTTATATAGTTGCAGGATCCACAAACACATAGCACCCAATCACAGCTCACCACCTTCATCCACTGCTTTTTGGTTTTGGTTCTCTCTCCCTTGCTGCTTCCCCCTTTCAGGAGAGAGTTTCAAGATTCATTTCTTCAACCTTGCTTTTTCACCTTCCATATATTTTCCATTTGGGGGCTCCTATTGCTTTTTTTTTTTTTTTTTTTTTTTTCTTTTTTTTTTTTTTTTTTTT